TAGTATTATACAGCTCTTGAAAAGTGATACAGGCATTTGCTTGCTTAATAAAATAATTGATTGCTGCAGTCCAAGTTGTTTATGCCAAATTTGATATATTCTTTTTGACAGAAATTTTCAGTATGCTGGCCTAGTGTTCCATGTGATTGATGATTGAAGCAATTAAGAAATAAAATTTACATCTAATTTTTAGACAAATGTACCTTATCTTGTTAATCATTCTTTAATTATACATTTTTATTGTCTCCTCAGAATTTTATGTGCCAAAAATAAGTTACTACTTTATAGCCACTTGACCCAAGTAGAAGAGTAAAGACTTAATTAAAGTACTGATGCAGTTAGTAATTTAAAGTCTTTGGGTGTTTTATGGCTTTTAAGGCATTCTTTTTGCCTAAGATCAAACAGTGACCACCTGCTGTCTGTCAGCATAAAGTTAAGCAAACAGATTGACAGAAGTGTCATCTTCTATGACCAATCTGGTAAAGACATTACAGGCCCTTTCCTAAAAGGTAAGTGTGTAATGTAGTTGGGAGAGGATGAAATTAAGTGAAATTAAGGAGATGCTTGTGCTCAATTTTGCTGTAATGGTTTTCTGTGTAAAATGACAACACTGTGGTTCCATGATGTTGGAAAATCTTTTCTCAGCTTCTCAAAGGAAATGGAGTAGGTGAGAACATGAAATCAAAGGAAAGAGGCAGTTGAACTGATGCTGTCCTTGTTAAAATTAGGAGTTTTGACTGTAACCTTTCTAGGGAATTTTGGATGAAAGGTAGAAGATCAAAACCTAGTGACTTGAGAAATATTATGTATGCTACCAAAAGTCAGTGGCTAGAATTATTAGATGATTTAAACATTATATTAAGCATTTTTATTCTATATTTGCAATAACAAGGGGGCTCTAATCTGAGCTTTTCAGTTATTTATTTGTTGCTTGTCTGTTCCCCGGGAAAGTCAGATGAAGATCAGCGTGACAGTGTTTATAGGCTGCATCTCATCTGTGGATGCAATCCATCTTCGTTAAGTTCAGTAAAAGTGATAGATGGCATTTGGCAATGTAATGATGTGATCACTCTACCATTGCCTTAGTAAATCATAAGCTGTTGCATTCTCTTGTGTAGATATTTAATCAGTTATACACCCCATTACTGATTTAATTCAGAATGTCAGTGGCAGGTGAATAATGTGAGTATTTGTATATTAATATCATATTGTATTAATGTTCCTTTCATTTAAGTATGCTATTCATGTGAAAATCATAAACTGTTGCTTCATGGCTAGAATAAATTTAATCTGTGCTGTAGGCATCTAATGCCATCAGTGTTTTAATTCAATCTGTCAGTGAAACAAATGTGTTTCTTTTCATTTCCAGTTTCTTTATGCTTTACTAATTCAGAATGTTTTCTGATGCTCTGAAAATATGAAGCTCAGAGTAAACAAATCACTGATTTTCGTTCTGTCAGTAGATTTGGGGATGAATCTATAGCACCAAAGAGCATTGATGATGTATTTCACGTGTATTGAAAGTAATAGAATGTCTGATGATAAATGAATTGCAATGTAAATACATATATATGCTCTAGAATATCCCTTTAACAGTATGAAATAATTATAAAGTAGTTGTAATGCAAAATAGCAATGGAAGGCATTGGCTTTGAGATCTCCTCCAGTGTCAGGTATTTGAAGTTGATAGAAGATTTTAGTTTTAATGTGAGGTAACTGAACAAGAGTCTATTTCTGTCCCCAGTTGCTGTGTGTTCTTATCATTGCTGGCTGTTACACTGTAGAACTATTCATATGTATATTGGGGTTTTTGACTATAAATCCGAAGTGTATTTTAACCTAAAAAAGAACATCAAAACTGCTAATGCAAATACAGTATTAGCATGGATAATGAGTAATACTGAAGATAAGTCATCCAGTTTAGAGTAGACACTATTAAGAATAAAATTACTGGTAATATCCATTGTATTGTCCATCTAAATCTTGGATCAGTTTAGCACTTACTCTGTAGGTCCATTGTCTTTAAAACCACCTTTCCTTGCAGATTTATGCTTTTCAATGAAATTACTGTCTCTAGTAATAATCAAATTCTGAATTTCTTAAGCGAGCAATGTGATAAAACTAGAATTTTATTGAAAAATAAGACAAGAAAGTGTGAGGGAGGGCACTTCACATAAATGCTTCAAAATATATATGTTAGATATAAGTAACCCAATGTACTAGATATATGTTTGCAGCAGAACAAATTATTCTGTTCCTACTGTGTCTTATATCAATGGGATTAGATTGATCTGAATGATAGATTTTTAAGCAAAGCATATTTTTTTAGCCCAAATGCATTCGAGGTATGTATGAAAATATAATCTATAAGCTTGTCAATTAGACTTCTTGGTGGTTCCATATTTAGCTCTCTCAAAGATCGTTTAATAAAGAAGTGCTCTCGCTTCTTTCTCTCATATTATTTTTTATTAAAACAAGCAAACAAAAAGATTCCATCTTCGGCTGTGTCCCCAGATAACACAACTTTGCGTTACTGTTTCTCCTAAAAAAGATAGAAATTGCTGTATTATAAAAAGTATTGTTAAAGCTTCTTCTGGCATAATGTACAGAGCTTGCTTTGGAGTTGCAGTATGATATCTTCATCTGATTAAGAAATATAATAAAGTGGAGTTCTCTCTGTCGCTTAACTATAAAAGTTATCAGTAAACTTCCCTATGAAAACCTTGTATTTCAAGGGCATTTTCTTCATTCTAGTTGTGGCAGGAACAACGTGATTATCTTTCGCCTACTGCAAAAATGACTTTAGCTACGTTATTTAACAGTTACTTTAAAAATCTCTTGTCTGGGATTCAGACAAGGAATACAGCTAAAGAAATACAAGAGGCTATATGAGAGGAAAATGGGAAAATTTCTTAAGTTGTTTAATGAGAAATATGGTTTGCAGCAAATCTCAGCCAAATCCTCAGCTCCTTGGGGCCATGTCTTTAACCATAAGCCAAAGAGAGAAAGAGTTGCTTTTTTGTTGTTTGTTTTACCTCTGTAAGCATGCTGAAGAAATGCTCAACATTCACAGATACTACAAATTCATTCATTACAAATAAAGTAAAAAATCAGCCAGAAAATTTTTATATGTTTTCTGAACTTTTTTTTAGTTTACAAAACTTTACATAAGGGTGGGCTTGGAGGTTTCCATGTGTAGTTCTCGTAGAAACGAGTAGCCTAAGAGGGGTTTATGCGGACAGAGTATGGCTACTGCCACTAGGATGATTTGAACAGACCAAATTTTCCTCTGGATCCCTTCTTGTGCACCTCTGGCTCTGAAATACTGACATAATATTTGGAGTCTCATGTTTGGGACATACAGACATTAGTATTTGGGATGATTCTATAAGCAAAAGGAACAAAATCTATTGTGGTCTTGTTTTTATTGCCCAAACGGAATTGCCTCAGAAGCAAATTATCACCAGAAGCCAATGAAGATTTCATCTCAGAAGTAATTAATTAGTTCATTCCAAAAGAATTCCCTGGGATAAAGTAACACGCAAGTGATTTGAGTGATTAAGGGTGGAATACCCAAGAATAAACTGAGAAAATGCATTACTTGATAGTATAAGAGGTACCCAGAAACTACATAAACAGTAATTCATTCAATAAACTTGCGTTCTGGCATATTTTAATTGCTTTTAACATGTTTAGGTAGGTAATTGAATATCCCTGTCACGACATTTCAAATAATTTCTTATCTTTGCCTGCAGAAGATGATGGATAAAGATGCATAAAACAAAACAAAGAAACCCTTGTTGTATTTCAGTGTGTGTTTTTTGTGCTTAAAATCCAAGTTAAGACAAATAAATTCTATGCTTTAAAAAAAAAAAAAACTTGTAACCCATCCATCTTTTTCAAAGACAAAGCTCTTATCTAACACAACACATTGCAGTGGTCAAAAGAGGTTTTTTTTGTTTGTTTTTTGTGGGTTTTTTTTTTTTTGTATTTTTTAAGTTGCATTCAATGCCTTTACTAAACTTAGGTTTATTTACATGTTTGAGCTATTTGTAAATGAGCTGAATACATCTCTCTCACAACTTCTGTCAGTAAAATAGGGAAACACTTTTTATCCTTTCACCCCTTTAAGGAGAGAGACTTATTTTTTCCTATTGATGTCATTCTGACTTCTCTGCAGATATAGCATGAAAATATAATCAGAAGATTTCAAATACTTTGGAAGGAGAAATTAGAAAACTGTTAAGAGGTGATTTGGCTTGTGGTTCTGATTTAGAGTTAGCGCCTTCAGTGTGGTCAAACCAGTTTTGGAACTTTGTCTTCTCCATATATGAATTGCAAGCTAAAAGTTGCATCATCAGCAAGCCAAATGCAAATTGTAATAATCAGCATACTTATTTCAGCATACTTACTTCTAGATTTTGCCGTCTGTAGTTCATTAATTAGCGGTATGAACCTTCTGGTCTAAAATTATTTGTTTCTAACAAAATAATAAGTGAAGTTAATCAACATACATTTCTGTAATTGGAAAAACGGTAGTAAGAAATAATTGCTCCTGTTTCTCACAGTCTGTCACTTTTATTTATTGGAATCAGCAGTCTACAATTTATCTTCTCTGGACATTAAATATATACTTTAGATGCCCATTAATATAATTTGTTTCTAGCTTACATTTTTCATATGGAGTGAAAGAGAGTGGTATTGTGGCTTACTAAGTGATGTACTGACGATAAAACTTATGGTGGCTTTTTTGTTTTTTTGTTTTTCAGGATTTTTTCAGGTGCCTTTTTTTTTTTTTTAAAAAAAAAGCCTATTCAGCTGTTAATAAGAGGCCAGTTTTGATCCCTAATGTGTGATTCTAACAATGAACAGGTGAAACTATAAAAGAATTTAAAAAGCTAGTAGACTAAAATAGCTGCACTACATGATTTTGCAAGATCAACATTGAAAAACAAAATCCCTTGATAAATGCATTCATTTGTTCTCTTGTTGCTTTTCAGATGTTGGTTCTGTGGAGGGACTTGCTTATCACAGAGCTTGGGACACTCTTTACTGGACCAGCTCTACCACATCCTCCATCACAAGGCACACGGTTGACCAGCAACGCCGAGGAGCTTTCAATAGGGAAGCAGTAATAACAATGTCAGAGGACGATCATCCACACGTGTTGGCTTTAGATGAATGCCAAAAGTATGTATTGAGCTTTGCTAATAGCTCATTTATTTAATTATTTTAACCTAATGTCACGGACACAGCAGCAGCTTTTTACTTCAGAGACAGCTAATTTGAACTGTTTTCAAGGAAAAAAAAATCAGCTAATGCAAATTACCAACAGAAAGGATAAATAATTGCGATCACTTTAGTCATTTCCTCTGCTTGCCCAAGTGAAAACGATGAGTTTAGGACTTCAAGAAAGAGAATTTAAGTTTGTAGTCTGACAGATTAGAAATTTGTGCTGTATTGTAAAATATGAGTTATCTAGGTATCTTGAAGAAGCAACTCAAGCACCAATGGAGATTGCATTGAGGAAGAAGCCAATTCTTTCTGTTATATATGTTATATCTATCTATAATGGTGCATTAGTATAGAGATATAGTGATCAAAATTAACAGACCTGTGAAAAGAAAGAACTATGTTCTTGTATACAAGTTCATGAATCAGAAACCTACCCTAATTTACAGAATGATTTCTGTCACATTTTCTTATTCACTACTGATTATCACAATTACTTACAGATGCCGTTCATAATTATCTAAGAAGGCACATAAAAGTAATTAAATTACAAAATGTATTTTATGATATCTTTTTATTGTTGTTGTTATTTGATTTCAATACAGTTTAATGTTTTGGACTAACTGGAATGAGCAACTCCCAAGCATCATGAGATCTACTCTGTCGGGCAAGAATGCACAGGTTATTGTTAGTACGGATATTCTCACACCAAATGGACTCACCATTGATCATAGGGCAGAAAAACTCTACTTTTCAGATGGCAGCTTGGGAAAAATTGAGAGGTGTGAATATGATGGATCACAGAGATATGTAAGTAAAGCAAAAATCTTGCAAATATTCGTTATATAGCTGTATGTTCCATTATATCTGTTAGCTGCTGTTAAACAAAATGCAACAACAGGACCATGAGTTGCAGACGTGTCTCATAATTAATGTTATTGATCTGGTGAAATAATATTTCCAGGAGAGCAGTTCCTCTTTACTGGTGTGCTGTCCAGCTTGACAAGGGCTCTGGTTTCTGCAAAATTATGCTAATTCAAATAATCATCCCAAAATTCTGGTGATCTGAGATTTTGCAGGATATTTCAACAAGGTGCTGGAATGAGCCACCACTGAGGAATGGTTACAATAGAATTCCTTTTTCCTCCCTCTCTCTGTTCCGTTGCTTTCTAGTTTCATTTTGGTTAATAAGGGTAGAAGCTATGTAGTAGAATATGAACTGCTCATGGAACATAGTGGATTTTCTTTCAGGTAGCAGCTTCTTTCTCTAGTCTACTCACAATAATAATCTAGGAAAAGGAAAATCTCAAAAAAATTAATAGTACTGAATTGTTTCATCTGAAAAGAATGTTTACTGGGTTTTGTATGAATTTGATATATTTAATGCTAGCTTGTGGTTGCAGTGGTATTCTTTAAAGTTCAGAAGCATCTTTTTGGTCCTGAGGACATATGCAGCATTTTGTTTGAACCAGCAAGATCACTGCGATAATGAAACATTTCTTATCTCTTCTGCCACATCTTCCTTTTCAAAAAATAAATGTGACAGTTACCTTTTGTAATGCATCATTCATCTAGAGTACAACTGTAAGTAGTAGATGGAACACTGAAAGCTTCTTAGCCTTGCAGTTTGCTTCTCAGTGTCATAAACCCGTTCATTTCTAGAACGGGTGGATTATGATATTTACAATGAACAAAAACCAAAAAACAAACAACAGCAACAACAAAAGAGGTACTCTTCTAAATTATGACCAGATGAAGTTGCATTGGCACATATGTTTGGACTTTCTGTTTGGAAAGATGCTTCGTGTTATTAGTAACTTGAAGCATGTTCATGTTTTTCAGTAGGGTATCATAGTGTTGGGCAAGAAAGGCTCCTTATCTAGCTTCTAGTTTCTGTTCCCATGTTCTGTTCTGTTTTTTGTTTTGCCTATTAAACAAAATCATTATAAAAATAACATCAGTAACAACCAAAACTAGTCTGCGCTAAGTGTTTGTTTTCAAATGACTATCTCATGTACATAAGAGTCACAACTTGCCAAAATGAAGGTTTTTTTCTCTTCCCTGCCTGGACAGTTCATTTGTGTCTCAGTTCCACATAATCCTTTTTTCTTTAGGATCCTTTCTTAAACTTATTTAAAAAAACAGTAAGCAGTAAAGAATAATAAATCTGGCATACTATGTTATATTTTATATTTTTAATTTGAAATAATGAGATGCAGTAGGTAATTTTAGATTAATGTTGTGCTCTACATTATGATACAATAACTTCTTGTTTCTTGGTAAAGGATAAGTCACTTCTATGAGACTTGCCTTTAAGATATTCATCTAATATTTATTTTTAGGCTAACGGATTTATTTAATATTTGTTCAATTATTTTATTAGGCAATTGACTTAAAGTTAATATTAGTTTTAATCTCTTTAAGTGTAATTTTCTATACTAGCTTTTGTCTTTCTGTTATAGATCTGTAAGTAGACTTCTGTATCTTTAGAAAAGTAGAGAGCCCTTAAAACCCTTTAAAAGCTTTATTAGATTGCTGTGCCCATTTAGTAAACAATTTCAAAGAGCCATATTATCAGTAAGTCATTTGGTACAGTTAAAAATTAAAATGCATAAAAGCATCTAATCATATAAGCTGATTCATTACCTGCAGGCATTCATTTATATTAAAAAAAAAAAGTAAGCTTTACCATGCTAAGAATTGTTTTGGATCTAACTCTTACATATACTCAAATAAGGAGATTTATATACATAAATTATAGTATTCTGTGAAGAATTCATATCTGCCTATGCAAGTTACAGATATCTCGGAGCTAGAATAGCTGTACGTTATAACAAATGTTGTCTAGAGAACTGAAGGACTTAGATTTATAGTTAAAATTACATTCGCATTGCCCCCTTCCCCATACTCTTATGTCATTGCAGGAAGCAGAGAGGACTGTCACTATTTAGAGCTCAAAATCCCCTCTTCAGCTCTACGCCCCATCATTCAAAGTAGTGTGAAATGTCTTCTTACCCACTTTTGCTGGAATAGGCATAAGTGGTAGCAATCTCTTTTATTAGGTTCCCTTAATGCTTTAAGGCTCTGCATTCCACTTGAAGTTGCGAATTTTTATCATTTTAGACATATTATAAAATACATCAAGACAAGGGTCTCTATATGACAAGTTTTATTTTATACATCAGAAAAAACCCTTCAGGTTTCTCATGCAGCGCAACAGTGCTTTGCCTTTTTAAACTATCTGCACATTCATTCAGTGCTGCATTTCTCTCAGTTCTGTGACCTAAACCGTTGTTGATGACTGTGATTTTTCCAGCTTTCTTCCTGTTGCACAATGTGCTTCTTGCTGTTTTTGTCTTTTGCATTAAATGACTGAAATGCAGCACTTACATACTTTCTGGCATTGAACGAGTGTGGACTTCACAAGTTAACCCCCTATTACATTGTAGTCTGTATTTTGATCCCTTCTAGAACCTTTTTAATGTGTGCAAAGCAATACTAGGAAAAAAGGAATTTCATATATGATGTCTATGGAATAGTGATGCTTTTGAAGCTGTGTCCTTTGTCCCTTGCACCCAGCGCAGCTAAGACGCCCTTGAGTGAACACCAGGCAGCACCTACTGCACATGGGTGCTAAACTGACCTCATGCCTGTGGTGATTAGCTCCGTGCTTCCGGCTGGGATAAGACACTTTTCCCTCGATTAGCCCTCAGGGGGAGTGTTGAGGTCATTTGCTTCTATCTAGTCACCAGTTTTATAAAAACTTACAGTAAGTTGGTTATCTTGGAGTCTTTACCATTCACTTGTTTTGTTTTCTGACTGACTGACAACTGCAAAGGATATTAGAGAAGGAAATGATGGGTGAACACACAATCTCAGCATGCTTCATTTCCTTACGATATTGAGCTAAAAACTGTTGAGAAATTCTTATCCTATGTATCTGTTGGATGGATTTGAAATTAGTGAAGATTTAGATCCTACAGAAATATGGTCAAGTTGAAAAACCTTTTCAGTTCTTGGTTTGCACAGAATTCAGTACATAGGACCAGTCACAGTAAGTCAGGCAAAAGGGCACAGAGGGACAGCGGGTGCCTGAGGAAGAGCATAGGAACAAGGCAACTTTTATCATTAACGTTGTCCTGTGGCAATGACATCCACTGAATGTTTTTGAAGGACATTTTTTCCTTCATTTTTAAACTGTCTTATTCCATTTTTCTTTGATTAGAAGAGGAAAAAAAAAGAAAAAGAAAAAGAAAAAAGAAAAGAAAATGATTCCCAGTCCTTCTCTGTGCTGCTCGTGGCTTCACAGCAGATTCCTGCTCAGCTCTCGGTGAGCAGTTTTTCAGAGAACTGTCGCTTCAGTGACCTCAGTGATATTTTGCCCATGTACATCGTATTACCTTCATGTCCACTGAATTTCATTTACTAGTCACTTCCCAGTTGGTGTTGTGAAATACTTCTGAAGATATTTACTGTTGCTCCTTATCTTCAATCTTTATGAATATTCTTATCCTTATGCACAATTCAGTTTTGACGGCAAGCTTTGTCACTTCATCATCTAGTCCCTTTTCATTTATAAATATGTTAATCAGAATTATTAATGATTTTTTCCCTCCAATCAGATGTAGTGATAAGTATTTTTGCTTCTGTATTTATCCAGGTGGAAACAGAATAATAGTGAGTAACATATAAATTTGCAGTTTGAATATAATGATTTTTCTTATGCTTGAGCAGTGTGCACTGATTCTCCATTGGCTTTCCTTTCTGTTTCGTGTACATGGGTATACCCTTTTCCTGAAGGGATGCAACAGCCTTCTTATGTCTTGATACAAATCAAATTACTATCAATAACTAAGAGGAATAGGTTTACAAAGTATTGACTTCCATCATTATTTTTGTTGGAGACAAGCAATCTGTAAATTAAAAATGGGCAGACTCTTTCATGCTGACTACTTCTCCCAGACCATCCCGCATGAGACCTGTCTCTGTCCCAGGATAGCTGTAGACACTCTTGAGATGAATGAATGAATATCAGCTTTATTAGATATGAACCTTAGAAACAGAGATGACAGAAAAATTTAGAGCAGATACAGGTCTGACAGTTTGTTCAGATACAGCAAATTTGCTTGACATTGAATCTTCTTAAATAGGATATAATTACCTGATTAGTATAAATAATTTTGACACAATATCTACCTAAGATCTATATCTAGATGTCATGTGTACTCATGTGTACTGGAATGCAATTAGGTACATTAGTAACCTGTCAAAACACTCTTTATGCCTGACCTTGGCCCACTGAAATAAGCACTCTTTCCACACAGTTCTTGGGTGTAGTTTGGTGTCAGCTCAGTCCAAGGTCTGTGCCCCAATAGATGGACAAAGAACATTTAAGTTCTTCAACTTCGAAGTGTAGTTAATTAACTTAACCCTCATAGCATTCTTTTAAAATATTTTAAGTGGTTATCTTCCTTTTCCATTTGCTTTAAGTATAAAGGAGTGCTTTGTCTAGAGCTATGCAGTGAAATGAGTCAATGTTTGCACTTTTGAGATTTCTTATTCAGAAACAACACTCCTCTTCATTTTTCTCTTCTGTACTTATGTATTACAGGTAATTGTCAAATCTGGACCAGGCTCCTTTCTCAGCCTGGCTGTGTATGATGATTATATATTTTGGTCAGATTGGGTGAGAAGAGCTATTCTGCGTTCCAGTAAATATACAGGAGGAGACACAAAAGTCCTTCGTTCTGATATCCCACATCAGCCAATGGGCATTATTGCAGTTGCCAATGATACTAACAATTGTAAGTTACAAAACCAGATACGTTATTTTGTTAATTCCATTCATTTCAAGATTTTTCCTTAATTTTAAGAAAGGTAAAACATTTTGCTGTGTTTTATAAACTTTCTCTTTTTTTGTAGGAACTCTTAACAAGAGATGGGGTATAACCTTTTCCCCAAATAAATAAATATTTTGGAATGACCATGAGCATTCTGCTCATTTAATGGTGATTAAATAATATATTTTCAAGTATTTACAGTTTTTGAATGTTTTTTTTTGTTTTGTTATTTTCAAGTATTTACAGTTTTTGAATTTTTTTTTGTTTTGTTTTTTAATGACTACATTGACAGTAACTCCATTTGTTTATTTTTAATATGTCAGCCTCTGAGGCATATAAACCTTTTTATCTGTCTTACAAAACTGGAATTAATTGCAAATGAATCTGAACTATGGTGATCTTTGCTCTCTCAAAGACATTGGTCACTGAAATCTAATAAAATAGTCCATCTTTGATGGTTTATTTTTCAGGTGAATTATCTCCTTGTGCACAAATGAATGGAGGTTGTCATGATTTATGCCTGCTGACTCCTGATGGACGAGTGAACTGTTCGTGTAGAGGGGACAGAATACTGATAGATGATAACAGATGTGTGAGTAAGTAATATTATCTGACGTGGTGCTTCTCTATGGCATAATGCTGTTGGGTATAATAGTCAAAGACAGGTTACCTAACCCATTAGTTTGATTCTGTCCCTATACAGTAATAAGGTGAAAAGAATTAATGGTAAATATAGATGTAGTGGAAGGTAAACTTTAAACATCGAGTTTCAATATCAGATAAAGGACAGAGCCAAGAGGGACTTCATAATTAAACTGGAATTCAGAAATTACTTTTTTTTAAGAACACAGGTGAAGGAGGTACTCAATAAAATTGATAGTAATCACAAGATAATAAAATAAATCACTTGCCTTTTCAAAGTGTAATTAGCCTGTTGCATTTTTGCCAATCTCAAGATTTTTGAGACAAAGATTCAGTAAATTTGAGTGAAGAATTGGATGATTAAATGCATAGTGGGACTACTCAGACTACTTGTTTCTGGTCAAACAAACAGCTTTGAAAGGCATTAAGATGCTTTCTTTCTGAAAGTTGGGGTTTTGCCAAAGTTTGTATTAGATTATACATTAGACTATAAATATATTTTGATATTTTTTGCCTGCTTTCTCTGAAGATGACTGTATACTGAACTACAAATCTAATCAAGAATGTTGTTTCCTAAGACTTTACTTCTCATAATGCTTAAAAATGAAATAGGGGAAAAAAGGACAGAAAAATGATTAATATTTAATGGGTTCTGTATCATCTTTAGAATGTCCTTTCCTCATCCAGAATCCATATTTTCAGCATTTTACTTTTTTCTTCATATTGAAACTAGTGCAAAAATGGTTTCAAACTGTATTTGCTTCTGTATATTTTGGACATAAGTTCTTCCTGAATTCATGCTGCAGTAATGATATTAGACATGAGCAGACAAGTGTAATTACCAGGTTTCGTTTCTCCATTCTTCCTTTAGAAATGTGCTGTATATTTCTTCTTTCATGTTTGTTATGTCATTTATAACATATAAATCAAATGTGCTATAACAGCGTTCACAATAAAATCATTTTGGGTAAATATTATGATACCTTCTTAGTTACTAACTAGATAAAAATCAATATACAAAAGAAAGCAGAAGTCAGAAGAATAAATACTTTTTTTTTTCCTGCTGTAAAACAGTAAATAGGAGAACACCAAAAATTCACCAATTCTGCCAATTAATTTTTAAGAATAAAAACAAGTAAAGTACAAACAACATTTTCATCTTTGAATGTTAGGTCATAACTTCAGCAATGGATGTAGTACATTGATCATGGTGAAAATACTTGCATACACACTGAACAGCTGTGCAGTACCACAAATCAGAGCTTGAATTAACTGCTGGCTACTCATAGATGTTTGCTTCTTTTTCTTTGATGTACTATTTTGAAGACACTTTTAAAAGATCATTAAGAAATGATTGCGTACAACTTGGGTGTTGTGTGGAGACCTATTGGGGAAGGAAAATTAAAATTCTTAAGAGAATCAGTGCTTTTCACTCGCTTCTCTAAATGTTCACATTCAATCACTGATAATTGACTGCATACATATCTTTTATAGAATCCATCGTACCTTGTTTTGGAATCCAACCCAGCATGGCAACATTTTTCTCATTTTCTTCCAATGTTAAAACTATTAAAAATTACGTGTTAATATATTTTATTTTTAGGCAAAAATTCTACTTGCAACATTTATTCCGAGTTTGAATGTGGAAATGGTGAATGCATTGATTATCAACTGACTTGTGATGGCATTGCTCACTGTAAGGACAAATCTGATGAGAAACTTTTCTACTGTGGTAAGTCTCTAACTTTTCTACTTAGCTCACAGGATGTGCAGAAAAAATCACACATTAGGAAAATTACGTTATATGGATAGAACTACGTACACTGAAGGCACTTCCTTGCAGTTGTGTTCAATTACAAGCATCCCAAATGCTTGTAATATGTAACACGTCGGTGTTTAAAAGAAAAATAAGGGAAAATACAGATAGCTGCTTATTTAAAGATGAGAAATTGATTATTTCATCTTTAACTTAGGAATACAGATTTATTCTTTCCATATTTGGTAAGAGTTTCTCTGTGAATAGAAAGCACCGAAAAATAAATATTATAAAACACAAGAATGATTGTATAATAGATATTTTTCCACCTTTTTCTTATTATTCTTCCCATCAGTCTGTAATTCACAAAGGTTTTGACTTTCGTTTGTCTACTTTTAACTTTCATATTCATCTCAAGTGTTTCTACCCTGCCCTTTTTGTCCTTATAACCAACAAGTGGATGGCTATCACTTCATTTTTTGCTTTCTGTGTCCAGCTGAAATCTGAGCTTGCCAGCTTCAGTGTCTAAAGCACAGTTGCTCAAAAAAGAAAAAAGGTGAAAGAATTTGTTTCCTGAACACAGAGAATAGAAGTGGGCCAAATACTAATGAGAACAAAATGGGAACAGTGGTAATAATAGGTTTTTATATAGTTTCTTGAATTTTTTTAGGAAAGTAGGTTGAAGGAATACTAAGAAAATCATCTGGGAGCAAATTAGAAGGAAAGTTGTAGCTGGAGAGGGATCTCAAAATACTGTTGCTTGGAATTCCGGAGAAGTTGTGTCTATCAGTCTGAGGTTTGCTGAGCTGTTAAAACTATTCTGTGCTTTATTCCACAGTAACAAAAAAATACAAATGAAAGATCACAGGATTAGTATTTTGATGGATTTGCCATCTAATCTTATGAAGTTGTTATGTTAATTTCCAGTATGACAGTGCTTGAATGTAGTACCTGAACATTTGGCTACAGAGCAGAAAACTAACAGGAAGAGGTGTGGTTCTGTCGTGCACTACGTCCTAGACCCCTTGCTGCCTTCTGAATCTGGATACTATCTTCTGCAGGACACTTCTGTGAACACTGCTGAATTAAAACCTTCTCATTATTACTTTTCAAATGAATATTACTTTTGAATTTATTTATTGTTGTGGCACTTGTACAATGATTTGGGCTTTAGTAAATAGTTTATGAATAATCCAAATTCATATGTTCCTCAACAGCGTGACTTCTACCTCCGTTAGCAGAACATTTGTAATAGTAGTTTTCAGAAATTGAGGCGTATGTATTCCATAGATAGAAAGATGTCTTCCATGTCAGACACTTTGCTGCAAATATTTTTTATTCTTTTACTTTCCATATGATCAATTACGTATATGTGTCAGAATTTCTTTTGCTGGACATTTTTTTTTTTGTGTGTGTGATTTAAAATGAATTTTCATTCAACTTTTTTCTAATGTCATTTTTAAATTTAAGGATGTTTTTCCTATATATGAAATATCCAAATGCAGTTATGTCCTTATACCTTGTTTTCCAGAAAATAGAGGCTGTCGGAAAGGTTTCAAACCATGTCTTAATCGCCGTTGTGTTTCAAGCAGCAAAGTGTGTGATGGTGCAAATGACTGTGGTGACAACTCTGATGAATCTGACTGTAAAGGTAAATGGTAGTTGCTTCCAAGGTGATTTTAAAATATTGCTTGTAGATATTTAGTGTGTGTATATATATATATATATGTAGATGTAGCTAGAAGTTGCCTGTAATTCTATGGGAATAATCAGGAATTATATGCCAGGGAATATATCAGGGAATTATATTCCTGAATATACATCAGGGAAAATATCAGGGAATTATATGCCTGAAGTTGAGCATATAGAAAGCATACAGTGAAGAACCCCAGCAAGGTGTTACATGAAGGCAAGCTGAGAGATTTATAGATAGTGCTTTTGTCCTCCTTACATGGTGATTATTTCATAAAGAGTTGAATGAACTAGACATTTTTGGGCTGAAGATTCATTTGAAATAAGAAATTTAAAAATGAAAACATTATGCTTTCAAGTTTAGGCTTCATATTCCTGTTGAAGTTCTAGCTATGGAATGGACTATGCATTCTGGATCTAAAAAGTAGAACCTTTAAACATAATACATGTGATACATATCTAAATCCTCTATTCAGTACATAAATTTGTTTCCTCTATTACTATATATTATAGATTCAGCATGTGCTTCAACAGAATTCCATTGTGCAGATGGGGTTTGCATTGGAAAATCAGCACGGTGCAACCAGGTCATTGATTGTGCAGATGCTTCAGATGAAAAGAACTGTAGTAAGTTCATGTTAGTCTGTGTTTCATCTTAACATCCGTTCTTCAATTACTCCTTGTCAGTCCTTGTACAAGCTAAAGTTAAAGTAAGCTCAGTCTTTTAGTATGTATTAGATGTGATTCAGTAATTTACTGTCTCTTTCCAGATAATACGAATTGTGCTTATTTCTATAAGCTTGGAATAAAATCTACAGGATTTATTAGCTGTAATTCAACTTCGCTTTGTATACTGCCAGAATGGATATGTGATGGATCTAATGATTGTGGAGATTATACTGATGAACTAAAGTGCCCAGGTAACCATGAAAAGTAAACAAAAAATATTAATTTATGTTTCTGGAATTTTTTTTTTAACTATATTGCAAAATGTTTATTTATTCAACACTATTTGCTTAACATAGAAATACAAATAATGTGGAACACCTTTTTTTTTCCATCAGTATTGTGTTTTGTTTATCAGATCATGCAAAGTATTACAAATTGATGATGCATTTCTTTGAACAAACCTGTAATTTGTAGCTTTCCGTTTCCTCCAGGTTAGGTCTATCATTAATCATTTTTATTATTTAAGTTAAACTTCCATTACAAAAATGTCAACCTCATCAAGCTTCAGCATAATCACTCAGTAGGTTTTAATAGCTACTGTTTTAGTGGATGGTATTTCTATTCCTGTTTGCATTTTTACTTTCTTTTTTTATTTCTTGAGGTAGTTAATGTGGACTACCAGGGTAGATTTCAGGATTATTGCTTTTGTGTTACCTTTCTACTCTTGTGCCAGGTGCCAGCACTAGGATATCATTGTACAATTAAATTCCAGTCTGGAGTTGAGCTTGTAGGCTTCCATAAACAGAAGAGCTGTTTATTGCTGGTGATTGCACTACTTCTCGTGCAAGCCTATGCCTGGGTTTTCCCTGTTCCTGTGCTCTTGTTTACGAAAATGTGCATCCCTATAACATCTAGGAAGGAAGAAAACATGATCCTAATGTCTTGGCAAAGCAAGCCTCATTAAAACAGGGATGAACAAACAACTAGTAAGAAAAAGCTGAAGTTAATTTACTGTTTCTTACATGAAACAAGCAAGCAGCAAAAGTATCAGACTTTTTTTTAACTTTGATTTTTCTTTGTATTTCTCATTTTTTGGTGAAAAGCGGAGTGCTAATATGTTATTAGAAATACTTTTTCAACATACATAGATATCATAATGGAAATCTGAAAGAAAGCCACTGAATTCATGGGATTTAATGACGTAACTTCTAGCAGAATCACCGGAGTAAGTGTGAATGAACTTCAGAAAATACAGAATGTTTTTAAAGTTTTTAAATACTTCTCCCCTCTAAGTCTGTTTAGTATCAGGAAGAGAAAACTTGCAGCGGGACTTTTGTTTATACTCATTCATTCTTATGGAAGGTCTTCGTACTCTTTAAGTAACCACATCCTTAATCATCTTTACTTGCAGTGGCAAAAAATACAAGACAGTTTAGCATTTTTCTCTCAGGGTAGGAAATCTATCTGTGTCATCTTAATTATCTGAATTTACATCTCTCTCAAACACACTAGGCCAATATTCTAGATGAACATTTTGTCACTGAAAAAGACTTTCTTGATGCATTTTTAAATTTTCTTTGTTCATTTTCATGGTCTTCCTTGACCAATATCTCTTTCTTCTCCTGAAGAATGATTGTTATTAATCGTTAAGAACAAAATCAGGAATTTTGTGCTGTTAAATACCATCTAACTCTTGCTAGCCTAGTAATCTATGACATCTGAATATTCTCCTGAGCATTCAGTTTTTCTGTGTGAAAATCCCAATTTCACGTTATCAAAAGTTTGGAAGTCTTACATGTTTTTGTCAACATCATACCTGATGAAAATATTATCCACGATCCAAATTGAACCTGGAAGAATTTCAATACTACCTAATTCAACCTGACATTAAGAACTTTCATTCTCACTGTAAACCGGATGCCTATTAATTTGCAATTTTTATACTATACTAAGATCCATATTCTCTGGATTATTTTATCATTCTTTATAATTTGTTGCATATAGTACAGCTCAATATAGATTTACTGCATTTTCTTTAGAAAAGAAGATTTGGAGGGCAGGTTGATATAACTTCAGTAAAATAACATTGCATCCATTTGTTGCGTCCATTCCATATTGTTGTGTCCATTTGTTTCTATTACTTTATTCTATCTTTCAAATGTGTGCCAAAAAATTCCATCATTTTAATGTGTAACTATGTGTCTGGACCATTCCATTACCTCATAATTGTGATTTCCTTTTCTGTGTTATTGAAAACTGACACATTAATTTTTTGAGTGTTTTCTGTAATATGCCTATAGTAATTCCCTTTAAATATCCTGAATTTTCTCAATGCCCTTTTTCTTACAGAAAATTAAGGCAGAGAATTTACTTAGAAGTGACTATCCAAAGATAATCTTTATGGTATCCAGTCACCATAGACCTACTTATTTCTATATTCTGTTTTTGCATTCATACTGCTGTCAAAGCCATAAATAACTTTTTTTTTTTTTTTGAAAGAACAAGAGAGACAAAGGGGAAGAAAACAGTATAGATAACCCTTATATATTAAGGGAGTAACGGAAAACTTGACAAAGAGTTCCAATGATTTCCAGTGCTTGGAAATAATGTGTGTTTCCTGTGTTTTCACAGCCAACATGCTTGTTTAAGCTTTTGAAAGTAATGTGTGCCACTCATTTACTAATATTTATTTGTATTTATGCTATGAAGCTAAATCTATGTGATGTTTTTGCCTCTTGCATTTGTTTTCTGAGCATTTATTACAGCAGACTCTTAACCCGCTACAAAGAAAGAAAGGCAATGAGAACAATGTTTAGCTTTTTGACAAAATTTAAATCTCTGTCTGCAAAGTCAGTAAAACTCCCCAAGAATGTGGAAAAAAAAATACTGCCACAGTTTGGTTATCTTGTGGGTGCTGGCAGATTGATCAGAAAGAAGTTGGTATCTTCAGCTGGTTAAATTCAGAAAGCAGTGTTGATTTTACTGAGCTCAAAATCTGTGAACTGAACTACTTTCCTCTCTAGCTCTTTTTAATTTGGGTTGGAGCTGTGTTGTGTGTTTTCTCTAACTACATGAAGTATCACAGCTTCCAAAAGTACTTAGCTATCACTATTCACTAATATATTAGAGCAAAATTCAATAATAAAAATAACCTTTTGCAAGCATAATCATCTTGCTTTCACTAGTTTTTAGAAATTTAGCAGAAATGTAATAGGCTCCTAATCATACTAGCAGACACCATTTTACATTACATTCTTTATTTTATCACAGTTCAAAACAAACCCACATGTGAAGAAAATTATTTTGGTTGTCCTAGTGGAAGATGTATTCTGAACACCTGGCTTTGTGATGGGCAGAAAGACTGCGAGGATGGAGTAGATGAATTGCACTGTGGTGAGCATTTTGTCTTAGTTATCTTTCTGCAATCGCTGCTGCACTTCAAAAAAAAAAAAGTGTTTATTTATACATCAGGAGTGTAAAAAATGCTTACTGCATTTTAAATTTAATTTTCAGGGTAAAATTCTATTATTTTGAGTTTCTGGTGTTTTAAGCCCCATCTACTACCAGAATGGAAACCCTATTAACCCTTTTTTATCTCCTAAAGAATTGTTTGTGTACAGACTTTCCTATTGCTATACTGATTACACTAAGTCTTCATTGTATTCATGAGGAAATTTTTATAAAGATAATGTGCTTCTTTCAATACAGTATGATTCCAGGAGAAATTAACCCAAATAAACTGTAATGAGCTTGCTTTTTATCAGAGGCTATACATGTATCATTATTTTAAAGTAATGACAAAATTCATATTTATGAGTAAAATACAGCATACACTGTGAACCAGGTCTAAGACTGTTCTGTCTTAGATCTCTTAAGATTTTTAAACACAACCTAATCAAAGAGCAAGGCAGTGAGAGCAGATCTTTTCACTTCAAATTTCTGTAGGCTAACTGAACAGATGATTTGTAGAATAAATTGTACAGCAGAATCAGTGTCAAGTCTTCCTTTTTCCCATTTCAGTGAAACACGAAATTTGTATACTTTTTTGTTTTGCTCTATCACATACATGCATGAAAGAAAGTTATATTCTTTCTCTTCATTACCCAGGTTCTATTAACATGCACCCATGTTTGGTTTGCAACTCAATTTCAGTTTACTTTTTTGATGTTAGACTTAAAATTTAGGAACTGCTATACCCTATGAAATGTAGAAAATTTTGTCCTCACCACATTCAGGTCAGCTTAATGCTGACATTTTGAAGTTTTTGTACATACATATGTGCTTCTATACAACATTATAAAATATTTTAGGCAATTGTTCTTGGGATTTTAAATTATTTGCCCTCATGCTGCTATCAAAACATCAACAGTGTTAAACAACCGGTTACAACCTGAATACAGGTATAGGATTATACCATATTTAAATATATTAATACACGACATCGGGAGGAGAGAAATGAAAGGTTAGGAGATTCCTATTCTTATGCTAAAAGTGAAGTACCTAACGAATGAAGTGGCTGGTGTCACTCCTAGATTCATCCTGTTCATGGAATCAGTTTGCCTGCTCTGCACACAAGTGCATCTCGAAGCAATGGACTTGTGATGGTGAGGATGACTGTGGAGATGGCTTAGATGAGAGTGATGCTATCTGTGGTAAGTTAAATATCTTAGTTCCATATCATGTCGCATGATCAATTTTGAAAGAAAGTGATTCCATGTGGTGGAAAGTGGTGGAAAGGGAGCAGAAGGCCTTATGTTTTAAGGTTAAACATTATCCAACCCACACTGCCTTGATGCTGTTTTATTGGTATTGCATGGTTTGTGTATGATCCATAAGTGAAGAAATGAATGGCACGCTGGCATGGGCAAAATGAGAATCCAACTCTTCTGTTCCCCACCCCTGAGATAAACTCTGTATATCTCTATTTGAGCTTTGCATTTTGGTACTAAGTGCCTAAGCAGTCTTTTTTTTTCAGCTCTTTCTTCTATTCCCTTTATTTTTTTCTAGATACAGTCATAATCACGATAGCATAATATTCCTCTCAAAAAAGCTCATAAATGTGAGAGAATTCATTTTTTTTTCCTTTTATTCTGAAGCTTGGTTGGGTGGGAATGTTATAGTGAATTCTTTTAGAAAATCCCCTGATGTCAAGTAAGTCATACCGTCATAGTTTCATGATATCTGCACTCACCCTTATCTATGTTATATTTCATTTTTCTTTAAAAGGTCCAACTTTGAATTCTGAAATACACATTCATTTAAAAATCATTAAAAAAACAACAAAAATAGTTTACTGTACTTGTCATATATGATACCACAATAACAATACTATGTTACTAATTATAATTTTAATAAAATGAAGTATTTTTTTAAGTAGACTGAAAATAAATATCCTTGGCTCACTTTCAGAGACGTGGTTTGTTCAGTTAGTATCCTAATCAAACATAGATGTAGAAATGCCAACAAATTAAGAGGATAATGGTGGAAAATACAGTACTCTGTGAGCAAATATGAATGAGTTGTTAACTTTAACTTCAATCTTGCATCCGTCTGTAAAACATTTTTCATAGGTCAGGCTGGAGGCAACGACTGTTTGACAAGGAAGGTCATGTCTGTCTCTCCCCGCTAGGAGGAGGATCAGAGGAGAAGGGGTGAAATGTAAAGGCAAACATCTCACCTAGGATTACTATAGAACACTGTAAAATCCTAAGAAACATCAAAACCTTAATCTTAATTGGAAATATAGAGCAGGAAAATAGGAAAAGTGAGAAAAATAGGAAATATCTAATTACTGCTACGTTACTACTTTCTTTTCTTTTTTTAAGATCTTTCAGGAGTAATTCCTTTGATCTTGGGACTTACAGTAGGTTATAGATTTCGTCTCAGAGGAACGCCCTTCCATAAAATTATAGGGCATCCCTTGAAGAGGGAAATAGCCATACCAGTTATGAAGCGAAAGCTAAGGCTGCATTTCTTCTTAGGATTCTAAATTGCAAGAAAAAAAAGGAGAGCTCAAGATGACTTTGAGTTTTTCATTCTTGAGAAACATACCAAATCAATGTTTATTTAACATGAAGTTTAACTTCAGAAATATCCACAAATGTCAAATGAATAAAAGTAAAGAGAAGTTGACCTTCGTCTTGAATAAGTAATAAAATGATCAAATGCAGTCTTTGAATTTTATTTTTTCATTAATTTATAATCAAAATGAGTGGAAATAAGAAGCATATTTATGAAGTAAACTTTGGCTTATCCAGGAGAAGATACTACTTGATGGGTTCTGTAAAGGTTTATCTTAAAACAGAGTGAAATAAATCCCAGGGTATAATAATCTGGTCTGTCAGTCTACACATAGAGTGTTTGCTCAAAGCTGATTTGTGAAGTTGCTCGGTCGGACAGCTTTCATGAAGAATGGTAAATCAAGTGTCCTTGCATAAAATTCTTAAGAGACTGTCAAGTAGAAAGTTTTGTCAAAATTTTAATATAAAATACAGAATTATCCTGTTTAACACGCTGTGCAGAACAAAATCTTCTTTCAGCGTTGTTGTAAAATAGAAACTCCTTACCCAGTCTTTACCCTTTAAGATAAACAAAATGAGGTTGGTCCCGGTCGTCCCTGACCAGTGCTGTTTTCCAGGTGCGGTGACCTGTGCAGCGGGCACGTTCAGCTGCTTGGGTTCCCATGCTTGCGTGCCTCAGCACTGGCTCTGTGACGGTGAAAGAGACTGTCCTAACGGAAGTGATGAGCTCTCCACAGCAGGCTGTGGTAGGTTTCCTTGTTAAAAATGTCTGGTGTTCCCTTTTCTAGTGCTTTTGCCTAGAAAAATTATACCACATTCTGTTTGTGTCTGCAGTATTATACGCTTTTACTGTCAAGACTGTTAGTCCAGATTGACATGTACATGCTTACGTGCCCAGATCCTTCAGTGTTTCAGTCAGCCAACGTCTTCGGTTTTTGTTAATATGTACTGATGCACACCAGCTGAAGTGTATTATATATTGATGGGTGTCACTTCATATCCATTATTCCCGAGGTTTACTAATGAAAATTAGCATGTTGTTATTGACAGTGCAGTTTTCTTCCTGAAGAAAAAAAATGATACTGCGTGTCAGAGACTGTACATCCCAAAGGCAGAGGCAGCTCAGTCTCCAGTTTAGTCTGGCTACTTGTTCAGGTCTTGACATCTCTTACACTATAGATTGTTGTTTCCAGTCTCCTGAGATGCATGCCTGTTGAAGGTGCCAGGAATTCAGTAATAAACAGTTCATTAAGTTTTGGGTTATTATTAGGAGGTTCTGTTTTATCAATATATGTAAAATATTGAAATAACTCTCTCTCTAGTGTGTATATATGTTGAATTTGTATTCTGCCATTTATGACTTAGTCTGAACTATTCAGAGAATATGGAAGTATCACAGAGTTTTTTTCAGGAGCAGAGTAACCCAGGAAGAACATCTGTATGTTCAAACATTCTGTTCCTTAGAAGCAGAGCATACTTTAGCTGAAGACAGCATCAGCTCTGAAGCCTTTCCTGAGGTTACTTGAGATTTTAGTCATCTTATCTCCTCAGTAGCTTTTCCTATTACCTAGCTGTGTGACACTCAGTGTATGACTCAGAAGTGATGGTTGTTTACTTTGAATCCGTTCAGACTAAACATTTACTTCTCTTTTCATTTTTCTATAAGAAAACAGCTATATATCTTACTGCTGTCAGTTTTATTTATTTTATGTACTGTATTTTCCTTAGCTCCTAATAACACTTGTGACGAGAATGCTTTCATGTGCCATAATAAAGTCTGCATTCCCAAACAGTTTGTATGTGACCATGATGATGACTGTGGAGATGGATCAGATGAATCACTGGAATGTGGCAAGTATATCCGAATTAATGTAAACAGAAAAATTCAATTATTGTTAACTGTAGGGTATTGTGCAAGCTCTGTTACTTTAAGTCACTACTGAATAAGAAAACTGCTCCTTTTTTAAAGTTGTTTTAGTGGCAGCTTTTATCGTGTGCAATAATGAGTGCAACTTAGTATGAACTTGGACATGGAACTGCAGTGATAAATTATTTGCCTTCATTTTTGTTATAGTTGATGGCAATCTATATTTAACAGAATTAAAACAAAAAGTGTAGTCTGTGACTTCTCGTTCTCTATGTTTTCTGTTTTTGTATGTCTATTTTTGTCTCCATCTCTGCATGCATTCCTTCTGTCAAATAATGAAACAACTGTCATTATTTTCACTGCTGTTAAATAGCATCAACTGAAGACATGTGCAAATGTTTCATCTTCACCATTCTTTTGAATTCAGGAATGAATGTGAATATGTGTGTGCAGCCTATCTAGGCAATACTCAGAAATGTTCATCTCCATAAGTAAGATTTATGAAAAATAGAAGGTAGATATTCTGACCAAAAAAAAAAAAAAACACAAATTATTATTATGCCTCTGTTTGTGCAATTTAAATTTATGTAATTTATGTACTCTGAAAAATATCTATGGAAAAGATCTATTCCTGTGATGAATTGACCAGTCACCAAATTGTTCCCTCTGCCTTTGTGCTCATCAGGAGGAGGCTGGTGCTTTAGAGGCAGAAGCACTCCTGGGTGCTCCTACATCATATAGGTCAAGTGGGGAATGCACTTCTAAAGTGAATCTTAGAGTTCTCTGCACTTGCTGTTTCTGAGGTTTTTTTTTAAAAAAAACTCATTTTTAAAAAGAGATAAAACAAATGAATAGATGGGAAGAAGGAAAAGTTTGAAGGAAGCTGAACCAGGTGATGTGCTCTGGCTCTGGCCAGCTGGGGCTGTGTGTCTGCAAGAACAGACTGGGGCTGGTGGAAACACTACAGGCTTGAGGGAAAGCTGTAGGCCTATAAACCCTGCCAGCCAAAGGTATCAAGCCAACCTGCCTTCTTTCAAGCATCATCTATGTAAAAAGAGGGAGAAAATTAAAAAAAAAATCCTGCAAGAAGCCACTGAACTATTTTAAATTCAAATTGATGATTATAATTGATGTGATAGCATACTCTGCTTTGAAAGTAGTGTATTAACGTATTTCTAAATGACAACCATGGCTACAAAGCATTGAAGATCTTGATGTAGCGGCAGTCAAATGTCATGTCTCCATCTGCCAGCAAAAAAGAAAAGCTATGCCACATGGCAGGGGGAATATAGTAATTAGAAGAAAGGACAAATATTAGCTTTCTAATTCTCTTATTTAACTCTTGTCAGTGCTCATTTATGATAGTTACAGATTAATCAGTTTAAGTAGTTACTATCACTTTGGATTGGTTTCTTAGAAGAATCAAGTCCAAGTTTTTAGAGCTTAAGATCTGCATTTTTTTTAAGAATGTCAGACCTAACTGAAATTGGTTATAGAAAAAATGTTGCAAAATCATTCTTGAGTGCGTGTGTAATTCCTGTTTTATTCCTGTTTTATAATCATTTTTACTTGGTATTTTTATAAGTCTTCATACTTTGCTTAAGTTTATTTGTGAGATTTTCCTCGGTGAACCAAGATCACGGTAACTCCATGTATAAAACTTGTGCGTTACGGCTCTAAAAGTATAAATCAAATGAAGTAAAAGATTTCCTTAGCAATTACGATAGTTTAGCAGTAGTGTGCATATTTAATACACAAAAATTTACCCTTTACCCTTTTCTCCTGACTTTTTCCATGCTCGTCTTTACCATATGCTTTCCATTTTTCTTGGTTATTTTTTACTTTCTGTCTCTGATCCCTTTTTCATAATTCCCCAGCATTCCCCTTTGATTTTGTACAGGTTATTTGAGTTTTAAGTTAAATTTAGAGTTGGTTTGGGGGTTCTTTTAAAATGGCACAAATTATTTGAGGTAGAATTTATAAGAAAAAATATAACTTTTTTTTCCAAACAGAAAGGTAAGTTTAAGTAGTTGTTTTGGTATAGTAAATCTTAAAAATAAAACCTTAAAAATAAAATACGATTATTCACCTAGGAAATTTCAACTTTTATGTTTCAAAATTGAATACGAAAAAATTTGTTCTGACTTTCCTAAATTTCTGTGCTTTTTTTTTTTTTTTTTTTTTTTTTTTTAGCAGCCAGTTTTCAGGAAGCAAATGCTTGCCTGTGGTTTCCTTACTATAATAAATATTGATATTTTATGTTAGGAAACCTATTCAATTTTGAAAATGTTGTAAAGTTGATATATGTTTATTTACTTTGTACTTTTCAGAGAATTTAGAAAATAGTATGACCAAAGTGGCTAGTGTTCTGCATGTTTAAAGGGAAGGAAGTGTTAAGCTTGTTGTCGAAATACTGTTGAGTATAGGAACTTTCTATAAAGTCTGTCAGCTATTTCCTAGAACAGCAAAACCTTTAACTACATTTAAAGCAAAATTAAGAATTGCAATTCTATATTTTATATAAATGGGAATTGTTTTGGGACTCTATTGTGCAGTGTAAAAACATATTTGATTTCTCTATTGTCAGGCATTGCATAAGCATATAGAGCTTTAAATCTGTTTACACAACAAGATTCATTTCTACTTATTTTCCATTGTCTGTGCAAATTTTTATTTCCAAAGTATGGAACAAAGTACGAACTCACTGGTGTATTTCTAGGATATCGTCACTGCCGTTCTGGAGAGTTCACTTGTGCTGATGGAAGATGTCTGTTAAATTCTCAATGGCAGTGTGATGGGGACTTTGACTGTCCAGACCATTCTGATGAAGCACCTATAAACATAAAATGCAAAAGCTCAGGTTTGTATCTCATTTTTTTGTGTGTGTGTAATATGTAAACCTACTTTCTGGAAAACAATGATTTGGGTTTGTAGATAGACAAATGGAAAATTTACTAGCGTAGAGTTCTCCATGTAACATTCTTGATGTCTTGCAAGGGCAGTGTGCTCATTGTTTGTCAATCCTGAGCAATCAAATCCTCAGCTAACAGCTCAACAGATCATCAATGCATAAACTGTTAGCACTAAATGTTAATATTATCTTAACTGTTGTCACAATATATAGTAGTTGGTCTGTTATCCTAAACATGTTCAGCATATTAAACATATATACACAGAGCTGAGTCATACAGTAAACTCAATTATATCTTTATTAGAAGATTACTAACTGGATGTGGTTGATTTTTTTGATTTTTTGTTGTTGTTTGTTTCCTGTCTGTAGAGTGGTAAATGAATCTTGGCCTGTGTATAGGCAACCTATTCTGTGATTTCTGAAACATTCGTTTCTTCTGCCTAAATCTTAATCTCTTTATTACATGGTATGAGTTTGGTCAAATACTAGCAAACTACACAGAGAAAAAGTTCCACATTCTCTTTTTTTTTCTTTTCCAGAGCAGTCATGTAACAGCTCTTTCTTCATGTGCAAAAATGGCAAGTGTATTCCTCAGCGGGAAGTTTGTGATAACAAGGAGGATTGTATTGATGGATCTGATGAGAAAAGCTGCCATGTTAACGAATGCCTTAGTAAGAAAGTTAGTGGCTGTTCTCAAGATTGTCAGGATCTTCCTGTTGGATACAAGGTAAATAATTTCAGATTATGATGCAATGCAATGTAAATTCCTAATTTTTAACTATTTCTTAACTATTGCCGCTTCATAATAAAATTTTGAGTTTATTGTGCTTCCTATAAAGAGTACATTCTAATTCCTATTTCCGGCAAGTAAGTCACTGCTAATTCTATAAAAACTGGTACAATGTACAATACCTTAGTCTATGGGTAAAGGACATGCAATATATTAATACAATAAATCATACTGATGTACAGAGTGCCAAAAAAAGCCAACTGCTTTTCCGCTGTCAGAAAGAAAAACACCGGCAGTGATTTGCAAGAGTAGTAGTTTTCTCCAATATTTTCCCTAAGTCAAAGGCATTAGCGTAAATAATAGAATGAATTGTCTTAGTTCCAGAATAAATAAATTGATATTTACTTACTCTTCTCACTTCTTTCTGTCTAGCTATATTTTGTTTTACTCTCATATTTGATGTAATCATCTTATCACAGTTATCATCAGACCCCAATAAAAGTCCATTTCAGAGTTCTAGTTCACATTATTTGTGTTACACAGAATGCTAAATGTCATCGGTGTTTGAAGAAAAATTATTAAAAGTTCTACAACTACCTTCCCAAGAAACATACGTGCACCTTAAAATAAGGAACACTAAATGTCTTCATAATTCTTCATTATTTCAGTAGCAGAATCCTCTCCATATTTCTGAAAGCATGTGTTTCATGTGTTCTCTGACTAAAGAGACAACATTTTTTATTCTGCAGGACAAGGTAGTTTGGGAGGTTACTTACAATCACACCAGCTATAATTTTAAAAGAAATGTTAGTGTGCCTTCCAGTAAGTGGAACAATAGCAATTTAATTAGTCATGATCTGAAAAGCAGATGAGAAAGTTTATGGTGCTAAAATACTCAGAAGAAGGTAAGTAAACTAAACTAGCGAGCAGAATCAACCAGTCATACAAAATGAATGTGTGTGTCTTTCCCAGTGCAAATGCTGGCCTGGATTCGGGCTGAAGGACGATGGCAAAACCTGTGTAGATATTGATGAATGTTCATCTGGATTTCCCTGTAGCCAGCAATGCATCAATACATATGGAACCTACAAATGTTTGTGTGCAGATGGGTATGAAGCACAACCTGATAACCCAAATGGCTGTAAATCTCTCTCAGGTATCTTTTTTTTTCTTCTTCTTCTTCTTTTTTTTTTTTTTAATCCACAGTTGTATCCAAAATAGTTTGCACAATGCCCTAGCTCTGATGTCTATGTTGTTCCCTGTTCATGCAAGATAAGCAAAGTTACTTGGAAGCACATTACTTTTGCACAAACACTAGGAATATACTTCTATGTCTGAATGTGATATAAGTTCTATTTTTAGTCTGTGTTGTGCTCACGTATTTTCTGGTGAATAGTTAACACTGGGTTATGATAGTTTGAATTTATTGACTTTCTTAGAAAAGATATTGGGAAAGTTGGAAAAATAACCCGATTTCTACTTTTGAGTCATAAGATAATATTAATATGTTTATGATAAGTATTTAGAAGACTGCTGCTGTTTATTTTGTCAACTTCAGGATATTACACCGTCCTTTAAAAGTCTCAGTATGTTAAATGCATAGGAAAAGGCAAACAGAAAAATATTACAGAAATTACTAATTCCATTAATCCCAGAGCAGTTAAACATAAAATCAGCTACTGATGATTTTATGCACAGTAAAGTTCAAGGTACATAATAACAGTGGTTAATTCCTTACACCTCTCTCTATTTTACTCATATTTATGTATCTTAGTCTGTAGAATTCCTTACATCAGGAGGATAAAAACGTCAGCAGAAAAGAGTTAAAACACCCTTATTGCCGTCTGGTTTTTTTTCATAATACAGGCAGTTATCTTACAGTTTGAGCAATCTTCTTATTTGTAGTCTTGTACAAACTGTTTTTTTTTTTCTTTTTTTTTTTAGTATAAATATTTAAACTGGTTCTATTTCCAGCCTAACTGACAAGAGGACTGGAACCTCTGTCTGCCTCAGGTTCCTGTCTGAGGTGCTTCACTGCCCGAGTGAAGAAAACACAGGAGAGTCCCAGGATCTGATTTATTTTTCCACCTATCTCACACCTTGCAAATCACTCATACATGTAGAAGCTGTAGAGGAGTGGCTGGAATACATGATAGGACACATCTATATTGGAGCTGTGGTATATAAAGTTTGAAAAGTGATACTGGCAAAGTCACATCTGTGCTGTAGCAAGGATAGCTGTAGTGAAAGTAGGCAATATGTAGTGGCTGATTTCATAGTGATTGCTAGCATAAATTGCTCTCAACTCTTCACAGTATCAGTGCAGCTTTTCTCTACAGCCCGTTAAATTAGTCTGACTTGAGGATGATGCCTCAGATCATGTAAGAACTGGAGAACATGAAATGAATGCCAGGCGACACAAAGTACTCCCTGGAAGAGTAGTGTTTTTTGGAGCACGCATCACATTCCAGAATGCATGAGCAGTAGATAGGGAGTCCATGCTGGAGGGCTTGAGTATCAGGAAGAATATTTTCAGATAAACTGGAAAAACAGGGTAAAAAAAGCCGAATCTGTCTGAAGTTTAGTGTTAGAGAATTTAACTTTGGCAAGATTGCCCTGTTCTCTACTTCTAGAATGTTTTGACTTTTGAAATTTTAAAAAGCCATGGTCAAAATGTTTGGTTTGCAGCAATAAATATAATAATCTACTTAATAATAATAATTTGAAAGTGAATGTTGAATTTTAAAGTATATGAATGTGCAGATTGCATTTATAGTTAAATATCAGTTTACGCCTTTAGAAATTGTTAAAAATAATTCAAGAAATTCGAAAACCTTCGTGTTCATTATTTATCTAATAATTTTTAAAAAGTAGAACGAATGGTGTGAAATATATTTCAAATATGATCTCTGGCATTCCATTACCGTAAAATTCAGTATGATTCCCATATTACAAAGGCAAAATATTAAATTACACTGAAAGATATACTAATTGATTGATTTGTTCATTTTTATACTGCATCATTGATCTTTCTTGGAACATTTAAATGTTTTAAATATTTCTTTCATCCATAACATTGATCAGAGCATGTAACATTTATTTTTCAAGCCATCTGTATTTCAGCATTGTATTCCTGATTTTCCATAAATTAACGTAAAAGCTAGTCTAATATATTCTTTCTTCTGGGGTTTAGATGAGGAACCTTTCTTAATTCTGGCTGATCATCATGAAATAAGAAAAATTAGCACTGATGGATCCAACTACACTTTGTTGAAACAGGTATAATTATAGTAACATACTCTAAGTTTAACTCAGTACCTTTATTCTTATTGAAAATATGCAGCTAAGAGAACTGGCACTGTATGCGTCAGAGAACAACTGCAGTACCTTCACATTTTTTATGATATTTTAAATTGATTGTTGTATTTGAGTTTGATATGATTAAGGCTCAGGCAGTTGTTTCTTCAGTCATTCCACAATCCAAAAAGATAATATGTGTTATTTGTGATCCTCTTCCATCACAATGTGTTTTGCACAATTTCTATAATGTTAGCTTTCAAAATATATATATATCTTGACATGTATTATTTGATTTTTGGGGCTAATTACTATCAGAATCCAAAATCTATTTCTTTTTTCAATTTAAACATACAATTCCAAGTTTTATTATATGCACAACCATATATCTTGCACTAAACTTGTTTTTTTTCTTGATTTTTCTAAATTATTATAAATACACCAAGAAATAAAACTTTGGAAAAAAAATATTAAAAAGTAGATAATCACCTAGTGAGTACAGAGCTGTTGTTTTAATATTTTCTGCTCTGCTTCTATGCTTCACCTAAGTGTAGTTATCTGCCATAGATTATATTTCAATAATATGTTTTAATAAAGATATCTATTTATTTGAATAATACTTAAACAATTATAGAAAGACTAGGAAATCAATTATGCCATCCAAAAGCATTAGTTATTTTCTGGCTTCTGTGTCAGTAAACTATGCATCTTAATGTCCTAAGAGATGTGTTCAGGTTTTCACAACAACAGTTGGAAAATTAACCATCCTACATTAAACATTTGACTTTCTTTAAGCATAGCAAACATTATTTTAAAGTCTGTCTATTTTTCTGAAATCCTCCTGATTACCTCTCATTTCCATCTCACTGCCTTTCTCCTCTTTTGCTGGTATATCTACTACTAGAAGCCTGTGAAAGGAGAGGAGCAGCACTCACTTTTCTTCATGGTTGATGCTTGCAGATCTGCTCGGAGCTTCATCAGTGCTGAATTTAATGGGCCCCTTTTCACTGCACTGGAGGCCATGTAGCTCCAGCCATTAAGGAGAAGCTGTGGTTTCCATATCAAATCAATTCCCTGGTCTAGGAATTACCATTGCTGTTGGCCTTTGATAGTACAAATGAAGCATCTTTTAAAAACATGCAGTTTGAAAGCAAAGAGGAGCTATACCAGCAGAACAGGTGGGCTGCTTTTCTCATGAGGACACCTTTTTGTCCTTGTAATTTTGTGATGGATGGGGTCTAACCCTCCTTACACATCTGCTGGATGAAGGCAAATGCCAGAACTGCTCTGGCTCCAGGGCAAAAACTCCCTTCTCCGTGTATTTGACCCGTGCTTTGTTATTCTAACAATTGTTCAGCATAAACTCAAAATAGGGGAGCTGAAAGTAGGAGATCGTTCACTCTCCTCTGAATTGTTGTGTGCTAGGTTTCTCCTCTCTCTCTCTCTTTTTTTTCTTTTTTTCTTTCTCTCAAATGTATCTAAACAGAACCACTGTTTGAATTATGTACTTCATGTATGTTCCTTTGCCATTTCCTTCTTTCATACTCATCAAACAGTGTTTTCCTAGAGAGAGTAGACAGAATCTGCCTCCTCATAACTAGCAATTTTAGCTGGCTGGGTGTTTTTTTGTTTGTTTTTGTTTGCTGTTTTTGTTTTGTTTTAGTCTGGGTGCCTAGGAACAAATCTTGACCAAGGACAGTGTGCCACATGTAAGGGAAACAAACACACACACCCCTTTGAGCTGAGAGACTTAATACAACTGATGACATCTAAAAGTTTCACTGTTCCTTATAAAATCAGATTACATAAGAAAAGATAAAGAATTATGCTAGGAGAATTTAAAAGTGGCTAATGCAGCAGGAGGAAGAAATATTGTCTGGAGAGAAATTTATTGCAAATGTAATTTTACCTGTAGTGGATGTTCTGATGAGTATTAGAACTAAAATCCCAGGCAGTTTGTGGTAGTTCGGCAGTTTGTGGTAGAAGAAAACTGGAGTGTGCGTGGATGTGTGTGTTTTGAACATGAGAGTGATCCTCCAGCACTGATCTGTTTGAGGCTGTCCTTAATAACGGTCTGGGCAACCTAATCTTGCTTTTGGACAGATGGCAAATTTACCATATGACACGACAGTATAGTTTGAAGATCAAACTGCATCTCAGTTTCAACACATTTAAATATTCTTAGTAGTTTATTTTGGAGTTGGCTCCTCAGGCCTTTTCCTGTAAAGCTACAGGCTTCATTAATGAGGGAGGTTGTCTGACAGTAGGTTATTGGGTTAATTATAAAATTAATTGAAATGATATTGTGGCTATCAAATGATTCCAAACTATCTTTTCTTTTTAGCAGTGTTGCTTCATCTTTGATATCATCTTTGTATAATTTTAAAACTAGCTGAGATTTTAGTACATGGTAGAATGTTAAAGAGATTATAGAGCAACTCAGACAAGGAGCAAAGGGTCTCATTTGAACACATTCAGGATCAAAACCTGGCTTAAGGCATGAGTGTAGAAGACAGTCTGCTTAATCTCTAGCCTTCATATTTTATTTGGTGCCTGTAATAGGTCATCTGAAAGTCAAAATTCTCCTTATTCAAGAATTTAATATTAATGGGTTTTTTTAGGTTCATGGTTTTGAATTCCTGAACAATATATAATAATAAAAAAACTCTAATGATAATAAGTATTGAGTTGATAATAGTTGTGAGTTTATTTAAATGATTTTTTCAATATATAATAATAAAAAAACTCTAATAAGTATTGAGTTGATAATAGTTTTGAGTTTATTTAAATGATTTTTCTCACATGTTCCAAGGAGCTGTCATTCCTATATAGGAAATCATTTTACTTCCATTCCTAAATAAGGTGGTATTCTAGTGCTTACATTTGATGGAAATTGTCACATTTTTTTTCCTTTTCTCTAATTTGTCAAAATAATGTCATGAGTGGTAATTAATTAAGAAATGGGATAAAGCTGGAAATAGTTACTCTTAAAGCACATTTTAATATTTGAAATGAAAATGCAGGAGTTTCATTTAGTTTCATACATCATTTGCACTTCTATATAAGTTCTTTGTAATCAGATACTGCTGTTAATATTTTTTTCTTATTCTGATTGTTTACAAGTAATATATGGAAACAATCAAAATGTGTACACGATAGAACAAAATATTCTGAGTACTACGTGAAGAATATTTTGCATTTTGAATATTATCAAATATTTTTTATTCATTCAGGTATGTTTCAATAAGTGGACCTATTTTTTTCCCCATTTTTAGGGGTTGAACAATGTGATTGCAATAGACTTTGACTATAGAGAAGAGTTCATCTATTGGATTGATTCCAGCAGACCAAATGGCAGCCGTATAAACAGAATGAGCTTGAATGGAAGTGACATCAAGGTAATTGCAGGTTAATAATGTCACTCCTAGAGTTAAATTTAATGGAGTATTTTGTGAATTTCTTTTTCATAGTTTCAATCAAAATTATGAGATTTTTCGTACATGCATACATATACACAAAATGATCTAGCAAGCCTCATAAAATATAATTACCTTTTTATCTTTCTATTTTTTGTGAAATAAAGATGAGGATAGAGAGAACTGTGTTTATGAGCTAAATTGTGTATGACTTAACTGATAGTTCACTGAACTGGCAGTTCAGTATGGTTTACAGCAAGCCAAATAAAAAAGACAGATATAAGTATGTAATCTGCATAAATACACTTAAATGTATACTCTTACAGTCTTTGGTTTATGTTTGTCTCACCTGCACTGCACTGGAAAAAAAAGTCTGAAACAGTGAAAAAAAACCCTCAGTGTCTTTGCTATGAACAATCCAGGGTAAAACAGTGTTGTCGTTTCTGCATAGCCTGTCTGTTCTGTTTCTACAGTGGAGTAAGTTCACAAATTTGCTGTTATTAGCTATTATGCCTGTTTGTTGACTTGCATGAAAATTTTTGCTGGATTTGTGATAAAAATTAAAAAATTCTTTTTTACTTGCTGTTTTATATCTGACTTTCATTTTACTGGTATCATGTTGGCTTTTTTCCCAGTATTTAAATGGTTAATTTCCATAATTTTTTGTTTCCTAGATAATACACAATACAGCTGTTCCCAATGCTCTGGCTGTAGATTGGATTGGGAAGAATCTCTATTGGTCTGATACTGAAAAGAGAATTATTGAGGTGTCTAAACTCAATGGCTTATACCCTACCGTTCTCGTGAGCAAAAGGGTGAAGTTTCCTAGAGATCTGTCATTAGATCCTCAAGCTGGGTATGAAGCAACCGTTTTGCAATAAAGAATTATTTATTCCTATTTTTACATTTAAGCTATTTTTAGAAAACGAGGAGATAGGAATCATTAGTTGTTAATTAATCATCTGACTTTTAGCTACACTGAATATTAGTGATCTAAAGTGCATAAACGGTGTTTATTATGCCATTTCTTCTGTAAATGATTAAAAAAAAAGAAAAAAAAAACCTTACCTGGTAGATGGAAATGCTCTGGAACTAAACTAGTTATGTATTATTATTGTTGTTATTGCATCTACAAACAAGTAAACTATTTGCTTTGTTTTATAGATACTTATACTGGATTGATTGCTGTGAGTATCCTCACATTGGCCGTGTCGGTATGGATGGCACCAGTCAAACAGTTGTCATAGAAACACAGATATCTAGACCCATGGCCCTTACAATAGACTATGTTAACCGTAGACTGTATTGGGCTGATGAAAATCACATAGAGTTTTCTGACATGGATGGAACTCATAGATATAAAGGTTGGTCAAATAGCTATTTCCATTTTCATCTTTTCTTTGTAGCTTTCGTTTGAAGATGTTTAGTATGCTATTTATAAATATGTAAAAAAAATACTTTAAAATGAAGCATTTTGAGAATAATGTAGGATTGGAAGCTTATTGCATATACTTTTTAGTTTTTACCAATATTTTTAAAGTCATTTTTCATGTTCCTTCTCTTAATATCAGTCATGTCTGTGGAAAAAATTATCAAGTGTAAACTGAAACTCTAGAAACAGACTCAGCACTCAGAGACGGCCTTGTTAATTCTGTGTTCTAGTGTATGTGCATAACATGCTGTTCTCGATCAAGTTATAAAGCCTATTAAAAGTAGAAGATAGCCTATTAAAAGTAGAAGATGGATGTTCTGTGTGCTACATGTCAGAAAGTAGCTAAAAGAAATCTTTACTCCAGACAGAGGAAGTCTTGAAATGCCCATTTGTCTGCTCATGTCAGTGTAGTAGTATTACAAATGTAATTTTGAACTTTCCTGGTGCATGGATAAAACAACTTTGAAAATTCTAATGGAATAAACCAAGCTTTATCACTAGGTGCTGTTTCTCAGCAACAGAGGTAATTTAAAGGTTACTGTCCACTACCTCTAAAGTGTTAAAAAGAAGGTTTTTTACAATGATTATTGCTTCTCATATTCCAGATAATATGACTAAATAACTTCTACTTTAATGAAAATATTTGACATAATCGGTATTATTTCTTTTTTGTCATTGGTCAGATGAAAGTTGGTATTATGTGAGCTCACTTTTCCTAATCTATCCTGGTTTATCCAAAGCTCCAAACTGCTCTTATCTTGGTAGAAACCTGATGAACTTCAGCTTTTCTGGCTTTTATCTCATACTGTGTGTTTCCAGGATTTCTATGAACAAGAGTTCATAAAACTTGTTTTTTTACAGTTTGGAGCTTCCCTTTAAAAAAAAAATAGAAAAGAAAAGAAAATGTTTTCTAGCTCTTGTGAGCATGAAAAATAAATTATAAATAGATATGAACAGTTCAGTGACAGTTATTTGAGATGGCAAGTTGGAGAGACTACAGCAATTGCTGAGAGGGTTGCATTCTCGTTAATCTCAGCATTATCTTCCATGCTTTTGTAACAAGCACAAACAGTTTAATGGTCTTAACATCAGTTGCCTAAGGAGAACTTGTGTAGACAACCTCCCCTGTACTGGCTGAATTCCTCATGACAGTCTCTCTTTCTGACAGAGGAAACAAAACCCCTTTCTCTTCTGGGCATTATTCCTTGTGTTGCTGTCCTGGTATTTCATTCTCATACACTTATCCTCTATTTGCCCTTCTTTATGGATTTTAGCCCTGTGCTGCTTAAGCTTTTCTTAATTTTTTCATTCAACCTGAATATTTCAGGATTCCCCTTTCTCAGAAAATGTCCTTGTATCAGCAGATTTCTGAAGATTCGTGCAAAATTCAATTCATCCTATCTTTAGTTTCCAGTGACTTGCTCTCCAGCCTGTAGATTTGTATGTAGTCTAATCTTGCCCAAGTGGGTGAAATCAGCTTAAACTGCCTTTACATTTACAGAATGAATGTCTTCCCTAGAGGATAAGTGAACCTAGGGAACAAGAAAGCTTGTCACAGGCCCACAATTGGTGCCAGTGTAGCACAGTGACACATATAACAAAGACTCTTTCTTATTCAACAGAACAAAAACCCTCCTACCTTTTGACAGATTAATGTGTTCAGGACTGCTTACAAAGCACATCTGGTTCTCTAGATATTACAATGAAAATATTAGAAATCTGGTGTTACTAGACATTCTGTAGGCTTTTATTTCTGGCAGTTTTACCATATCCAGTAATGAATGGAAATAGATAGAATACCTTTTGGGTATTTGAGACAAGTTCCATAAGTGACATTGTGTCCATTTATTTACAGCTCGTGTCATGATACTTTTAAGTCGTTGGCTTTTTAAAGTAGATTGAAGCAATAAGAAGCTTTTTCGGGGGCGGGGTGGTGGGGGGCAGGGGCAAAGAAAGATCCTGGGGTATTTAGATAATATGGGAGGAAGAATTTCTTCTTAGTCAATACTGTTTGTCATTATCTGTTATCAGATACTTCTCTCAAAATATAATTATCAAATCAGAGTCAAGGTGTAGAACAGTTTCTGTGGATTTAGATATGTGGATTTAGTGATAGAATTCTTGGTGTCTGAAATGAATCAAAAAGCAAAAGCTGCTCAGTCAATCATGATCAACTGTCAGCCATGGTCAGTGGTCATGGTTGATGGTCAATCTGTCTTCAAGCAAAATCTTTCCCCTCTACCTCTCCCCTCCACACTGCAATAAACTAACAAGTAAATTCTGCATTTCTTGATGTTTTCCGCACAGAATTGGAAATATTTCTGATAAATAAAATGCAATCATTACTACTTAATAGGGGAAACTAGGGGAAATAATCAGCTAGGGTTTAGAGTAAGTAAAACTTTATGATCTCTACTACCTTTACAGTATGAAAAACTTTGAATCTGTGTGGGTAAGCACTTAAATAAGAAGGAATGTTTTCATGTCTTGAGGATAACTGTGTTTCTTGAAGACATACTGCCCGCATGGACTGTATGATCCATCTTCCTTCTGTTGTTCCGAGATACTTTGTTTTGTCAGAGTTAACTAATGGATGGTTGATCTTTTTCTGTTGTTTCTGTTTTCAAATGGGAAAGGAGAAAAAGGATTAAAGCACAGATATGTCAGGAAGGTCCACACTGATAGAACAGAAAAGAGGACTGACCAGGAGTCATGTCAGCAGTGCAATCTGAAGTACTTCTAGAAAACTAACTACATTTTCATCTCCTTCTGTGGCCTTTGATGAAATGGCTAACTTGTTGTGATCCTTTTTTTTTATGAGAGTATATTTACTGGGTCTAAAATTATCTGTTGCCAAAGTGTATCAATAAATGCCACAGAGACTTCACAAGACTCAGTAAAAAAATCTCTTGTCAAAATGAGCAGCTCTAATCTATATCATAAAAAAGATATTATCATATAAAGTAGACCCTGAAGTGTTGGTGCTTTGCAGTAGATACTTCATAAAGACAAATGAAACAACTTTAGGTAAATTAATTACATGGTGAGTGTTATATCCATGAGTGCTTTTTTTTTCCATGCAACTGCAGTTTACTTGAATTTTGGTGATTTAGAGCTTAGTAGAAAGAGTTTTTGCAAGAAGCGTACTTTTTTATTTCATTTTTACAGATGATAATAAAATCAGACAAAGAGAATATTGCTATTTTTCTCTTTGAAATTCCTTATTTTTTTCCACAGAACAGTAGGCTTCTATAATTGTCAAGACAGTCCAGTAAGTACTTTGCAAATATGCTAACTAGGCCAGAAATCTTACAGGACTTTGGAGCTGTTCTTGGTGCTAGGGGCAGCAATGACCTTGCTTATCTACTCAGAGTTTAATGCTTGATTATGTAAACTGTCTTTAGAGCTTAGCCAATTTAACACTACAGCATTCACAAACGCTATGCATAGTAAACGATTAAGCAAGCACTGAAGCACTAATCTGGCTAAGCACTAAGCTGGTTTACGTCTGTGAGCTTTAAAAACATTTAAGAATTTGTCAGACTTAGCTGCTTTTGGTTCCCAATGCCCAAAGGAGATGCAAGCTTCACAGTTCCCCAGCTACCTGATTGCTTCACGCAGGTTTTCTATGCTTCGGAGCTCTTAAAACCCAGAGGTGCCTACGTTTTCCCTTTTCACTCTTTGAAGAAGAGTATTTCACTGTAATGAAGCTATAAATGTTGAATCAGATAGTCCAGTTTAAGAAGCTCCTCTGAGCTCAGCTGACTCCTTAAGTGTGCCGAGTTCTTTGATGTTTTAAACTGTAACAACAAAAGTTTAGCACTTCATTGCTTCATCTTATATGGGCGTGAAAATTAAGCAATGAAGTCTTGAACCGTGAATGAATAGAGTACTTGTAAATGACTATTTCAGTGAAAATATAGTTATCAGAGAGAAACTTATTCTATACAGTATCTTAATTTTAAAAAATGTTTTCTTTGGAATTGACTTGTGCCTGAGTCAAAGGTTATTTGAGATTACGATAACTTTTTTTTTTATTTAGCTTCTGAAATTTCAAATATTGCAAATTTTAAGACTTTTTGGGTGCAGAAAGAATATTTCTCTCTAGTTCTAAACTTCTGAGTTTTATAACCATGTAAATCCAATTATTTATGGAATTACCCTAATGTAAAAGCAATGTAACAAATTGCAGAAATATAGTTCCAGATGATATTATGCTGCAGTATTCACAGCTGAAAAATTAGAGAACCTTGAAAAGAGGATTTCTAATGGCAGATGAGAAATATACAATATTCAGTTCTAATACTGAAACAAGTGTTCTCCTACTTGGTGTGAAGTCTGTAACATTACTCATTATAGCCACTACTGATAGCACAAACCAGTACCGTAAGTACTTGACTTCTACTGCTGCATTCTAGGTTCCATTCTCATGATTGTTCAGATAAAAATCGCCAGCTTGTATGTCCTTCCAAACTTGATTATTTTATTGTCTATTTTAATGGCATATTTGGGAAAAATACATAGATTGACATATATTAAAGCCAATTATTTCTGTTATGTTACTCCCAAGTTCCACAGTTCAGGGAGCACAAAGACTGATAGCAGATTGGTTTCTCTATCTTCAACCATTGTTCAGGGTTAATACACCAAAATTTGGTTAGATTATAAGCAACTGAAAATAATTTTTCCATATACTCATTAAAAACTTCACAGACGATGACTAGTAAAGTCCATGAAGTTTCCATATGTGCTAGAAATGCACGAAGACAAGTTTTAAAGGGTGGGCGTTAGTTTCTGTGCGGTTGCTTTTGTCAGAAAGCTGCTAGAAGTGGGCACACAATACGCAGTCCTTGCTGTGTTGCAGTGTCTCCCCTGGTCATACCAAAGCAATGCCGAAATGCACGAAGACAAGTTTTAAAGGGCGGACGTTAG